GATAAATATCTGTAGAAGATATTCATCCATACGCAAGATTCTGAAGAGGTTTAACTTTATTGTTATTATTACTTTTGGCATGTTATGTTTATCTTGGTAGTCTAAAGTTGATGTCGATAGAAATACAAGTCTGGAAGTAGTTCTGCAAATGTTGTGGAATATGTCACTAGAAAGTCTAGCAGTCGTGAGTTCTCAGAGTCCATTTGAGAAACATGTCAGAGTGAGACAGACAAGTGAACGGTTTCAACAGATAATGAGGGCAATATTTTGAGGTGAAAATGGGAAAAGTAAACAAGGTTTGTAAAAGAAAAAATGACATGTGGATTAAAGCTCTTGAGACTTATGTAGCACATTACTAAACTTGAAAAAAGGTTGAATTCCATTTATAGAACTCTTCTCAAGAATTGCGAGGCCCTCTCATAAATGCTAACTGATTTAAAACAATTCGAATTTATTAAAAAATCATAATTATTTTAAAATTTTGATGCTTGTATCCATAGCATAGAGGTCTGCATGTTAAAAATCAAGTGGATTTATAAAAAGAATCTTATGAATAATAAAATAAATGAGGTTTCGTATTCCAAAATAAATCTTATTTTACTGGATCTTTTGTACCTTTTGAAAAACATCTTCAAAGAGTATTTTTTGAGCTTGTATAGTTATGCAATCTAGTTGTGCGATTTGCACAATAGTTTATTTTTTAAGTTATATATATATATATATATATATATATAGCAATATAAACATTTTTTATATTTAAGATTATTAATTTATATACAATTTAATTGCTAACTTATATTTTCATATATAAAAATTTGGTTTTTGACAATACTAAATTTAATGATACTTTTTGTTGATTTTTTTTTTTTTTTTTTTTTTTTTTTTTTTTGGTCTTCAATTTAATCAAATTATATAAACTTAGAAGGTCTTATAGTATACTTGTATGTTGTTTAGTATGTAACTTTAGAATTATATGTTTATATATATATATATATATATATATATATAATTCTTTTCTATAAAAAAAAAGTGAAAAAAAAAGTGAATAATAATAACAAATTTGTCTATAAATTGGTGCAACCTAAGAAATGTTGGATGTTAGAAAATTATCATTTTTTATATTTTTTTACAAAATACTAAATTAAAAGATATGAAACTAGAAAAGATATTATTTCATAGCTTATGGTCTAATTTAGAGACTAAAATATACCAATGTTTTCATTTGAAGGTGTTTTGAAGTATTTGTCGATAAGAGAAAATCGAATATATCAAAAAAATTCAAATAAATAAAAGAATTAAAACTTTAAAAAAAGTGATATTTGATATAGAAGAATAAAAATACTTAAATTAAAAGAAGATAGTTTTTATATAAATATTTTACAATAATTAATTTTAAAAATTATGAAATTAAATCAAAAAAATTATTGTCTTTTAGATAAAATTGATTACAATAAATTATTTTTAGATTTGAAGCAAAAATAATGATAATTAAAGCTAAGATTGGAGGTTGAGATTAGGAATTAAAGATAAACATCGTTAATTATGAATTAGGATAGAAACATTCCAACCTTATAAGCTTTAGAAGTGAAAGGAATTAAAATGATAGCTTAAAATAAAGAAGATTTTTTATTTTTATTTTTATTTTTAGAATTTAAATTTATTCTTTATAATTTGGAAAAAAAATATTAGTTCATGATCATATAAAATATTTTTTTACATTCTATACATTTATGTATTTTTGTAGGTAAAACTAATTATATTTTTATAGTATTTATTATATAAAAGTTTAAATAATATAAGATGTATCATTATAAATATTTATAATATATGTTTTTAGTTAGTATGATTTTTTGAATTATAAGCTTCATTTCTATAATATTTTTTAAAATTCTTACCCAACTTTAAATTTTGCATAATTTCTTGATTAATCATATTTTTTATTATTTCTATAAATAATTTTAAAATTTTATTAATATTAAAAGCTAATAACTTCGCTATACAAGCTCTAGTTTAGCTTTTCTAATAATATTTAAAATATTGGATTATGCTTAGATTGTATGTACTTGTTTATGGTTCTATGAAATATCATGATAAGGAATTTTTTAGATATATGCTTTAATGATATTTTTAATTGAATTTTACTTGACTATGAGACTTACACAAATTAAAAGTACCACTAGTAATCTTTTAAAATTAAGTAAGTGGTTTTTCTATCAATATTTTTTTTAAAAAAAATCTATGAAATTATGTAACTATTATAAAATTTTGTATAAACTATATTTTTAAATTGAAATTATAATTATCAATTAAAAATTTAGAAATCATATTATAAAAATAAAAAATTTCATAATTATTGGAGAATCTTTTTTCAAAAAATCTTTGTAGAAAAGATTTTAATAAGATCTTCAATCAATCCAAATCACTAATTTTTTACAATTATACTGAGATAAGTTTAGTAATCTTAATCAATGTTAGTGGGATGTAGAGAAGAAAAACTATAGAATCAAAGATAATTAGTCATAATAGAATTAAATATAATAATCTAACTTCTAAAAGGCTATTAAATTAGGTTGTATAAGAATCTCAAGAATTCTAAGAATAAGAATGTATGATCAATTAAGGTAGGGTACATTATTGGAATCTTTATAAAAACATAAAATAGATAAAATCAAAAAATCAAAAATCAAACAAACAAACAAATCTTTATAACTAAAGAACCATTATAATAATATATTATATAAGTATATATATATAGGGAATGAAAGAAGCTAATTATTCACTAAAGTGAATATTTCTATTAAATATAATTATATATATATGAACCTTATGTGAACACATTTGTGTGAAAAGCAACATCAAATTCATAAAAGAAATCAAAGAAAATAGACAACCAAACTTGAGTCAACCAAATTCAGTGCCAAGGATTTGTACACTGACTGGGAGGTCAAGCAAAAGCACGGAACCAGTCTCAATCCAGTCTCGATGTTTGTGAGCACAATGTGCAAAGTTTGGACAAGAGCAATACACCAAAATAGAACAAGAATAAAAACTAACTAACATTGCAGATGAGTAGAGGTGCACAATTCCATCGTGGTCTCTCTGAAGCTGCAATTCTACGCCACAGTGGGCACCTAGATCGAGCACTTTCTTTTGTCAATTGCTCTAAAACTCTCAATATCCAAGCTACAGTTGCAGCAGCACATCCCTCGGCAGACTTGATTTCATGCAACCGAAGCAGCTCATCACATGCATGGAACCACAATGTTGTCACTCTAGAACAAAAACATGTGAAGCCTGGAGCTTTTCTGAGGTGCTTGGTTTGTCTGCAGCATGAACACACGATGTGCAGACCGCAATCTTCTTCATTGCACAGCTTGTTTATTTCTACCAAACTGTAATGTGTAGATGCCTTGAATGGCAACTTAACCCGCCATGCATTGCAATGGCACCGTTCCGTCGCTGGCTGGTTTGGGTGCAAGAGGTGCTTCATGACGATGACGGAGAGGTGCCGACGCTCACATTGAATATTGTTGGCTCTGGTACCGGAGTATCGGAATCTGGGGTGTGTCGGCCGTAATGCAGGGGGCGCCGCAAGGCCATCGCCACATGATGTGCTCAAAGACGCATTGTTTAGTTGCGCTTTAGTGCTTCAGCATGCCACATCACCGGTCACACCGCCGTGACTCGTGTCCAATCCCCTTCCTCCTGGATGCTTCGCTGCAGCCTCCTACTCCCGTTGACGAACTCGCTTAAGTCCGTTACTGGAATCGCCGAATAATTCCCTGGACGCTATTGATGCCAATAGCCCGACCTATCCAACTATTGCTTCTTTACCTGCACAAACCTCGAGTGGGCCTGGTTTCCAATCCCAATCATCTTGTCTACCCACTCGAAAGCGGTGAATTATAACCAAATGTGGACACAAGTGGTAATCGAGTCATGTAAGCCGCAAAAAAATGATTTTATCCTTTCGGTGGAAACTTGGGGGTAGCGGCTACTACAAGAGATGATTGCTACGTAGTTTCTCTTTACTGACCATAATAGAAGGTAGAGCTGACCTCAATGGCTGATTCTCGCAAAGTTTCGCTTTTTTTTTTTTCTTTCTTTCTTTTACTTTTTTATGAGAAAATGCAAAGATTCCCCTCGGACCGAAACTACAGGACAACATTCAGTTCCTCGAGACACAAAGGCATGTTGGGAGATACTCCCCTCTGCATGGATTTCTTTGAACTTGCAAAAGTCAATGTTAAACAACTTGGTGATTCTACAGTTGACTTGCAATCTGCCAAGCAACGCTGTGCGACTAACATGAGTTCAGCTCGAGAACTTTAAACGATATCAGTTTCTTAAGGAATGAATTGTCGGCGTCTGGCGCGCCTTCAAACCATCTCCTTAGTTTCCAACGTTAGAAAAAATTGGCCGTCCCTAAAATTTAGGCAAATTTCGCACACTATGCACTATGATCACAAAACATGAATATATACACACTTGGACATTGCATCTCTATTCTCCAGGCTTATTAGAACTCGAATAATGCTTTGCGAGACGTTCTGACTGCTGAGTATTGCAGTGGGTGCCGCCTCTGGTGAAGACAAGCGCAACAACATGATGTCGAGATTGACTTTGCACATCCTGGTGCTGGCAACTCTTGTGTGGGTGACTCTGACTTCGATGGCTCTAGGGTTCTCAAGAGCAGACTACGCGAATGCGTTAGATAAGTCAATCTTGTTCTTCGACCTTCAGCTTTCGGGGAAGCTCCCCAGTTGGCAGAGGCTCAAGTGGAGGGGCGACTCTGGTCTCAGCGATGGCCGCTCTGGCAGAGTACGCCAATCTCAATTCACGAACCAGTTCCTTTCATAATTGAATATGTGAATCACATGTACCCCAACCTGTTGCTTAACTTTACACCAACTTTCTCGTATATCTGGGCGTCATACATCGCTGATTGTGATGTGCAGGTGGATCTAACTGGGGGATATCACGACGCGGGAGATAATGTGAAGTTCGGACTTCCCATGGCCTTCAGCCTCACAATGCTGTCGTGGGGCGTGGTCGAGTTCCGTGACGCGTTGCGGCGGACAGGGCAGCTTGGAAACACGCTCAATGCTATCCGCTGGGGCACTGATTATCTTTTGAAGGCCAGCACTGGTCCCAATGAACTCTGGGTGCAAGTGAGCATTCGCCACCACTTTCAGATTCTATTCTCTGATATTTTCCTGCGATCACAGATTACAATATCAGGAACCTTGAAAGCTGATGTCATCCTTCATGAAGTCACAACCGGATATGTATTCAAAAGCAGGTTGGCGATCCCAACACCGATCACAATTGCTGGCAAAGACCCGAAGAAAGTGATCCACCTCGCACGAGCTACAAAGTAGATGCCAACCGCCCAGGATCCGATGTGGCCGGCGAGACTGCGGCAGCACTTGCTGCTGCTTCTATTGCATTCCGTGGCATTGACAACGCTTACTCAGATCGAGTCCTCGCTCGTGCTAGACGGGTGTGTGACACCAGACCATTTCTCCATAAACACACACATTCTTCACGTAGACTTGGCTTAACCCATTCGGCTTATTCATGACTGCGTGGCACATGAACATGATGTCACTTACTCAAATTCTTCACAGATGAGTTAAGCTCGAATAAAACTGCTTCTAATACAGAATCAGATGTAGACGACTACTATGGTTGCAAGGTCTCTGCATTTTACCACTTCACATCGTATTCTCGCAGGTGTTCGACTTCGCCGACAGGTACAGAGGCAAATATAGTGACGTACTTGGAGGAGAAGTGTGTCCATTCTATTGCTCCTACTCCGGTTACCAGGTTATTTCTCCAATAACATCTCCTCATCGCCTACTATTGTGAAGGTTCAATCTCTTATGCAGGTCGATTCATCTGCGAAACTATTCATATGTATGTTACACAGGTGATATTGTAAAGTTGGAGTGTGCACTTAATTGACAGTCGGCTGGATTGATTGGGCAATTCACAGGATGAGCTGGTTTGGGGAGCGGCATGGTTGTACAAGGCCACGCTAGAGAGTGGTTATCTACAGTACCTTTATAGGAATGGCAATAGCCTTGGTGGGACAACGACCACAGTGAACGCGTTCAGCTGGGACAACAAATACGCTGGGGCACAAATTCTTCTCGCTCAGGTAAGAGTCATCTGCAAGTTCCTCTTACAACTTCAAAGTAAATCTGCTAAAGCTGTTCACACTTAGACAACGAGCCAGTCTGCAGGTTTGGAATCACGCCATGGCCATTCTCGAACTAACCATACGGTTAATTTTACGCAGTTTGCGTTTGAAGGCGTGAATGGGCTTCAAGGGTACAAAAACCAAGCTGATGGGTATATTTGCAGTGTCTTGCCTCGCAGTATCAGCCAATTCAACCGATTGCAGTACTCACCAGGTACACTCTCAAAACTCGGCATTGTCAATTACCATCTCTTGTTTCCTCGTTAACCCTACACGAGAACTCATTCCAAAGCTCGATCTCTTGCATGCCGACGATATAAACTGGAATGCGTGCAGGCGGAATGCCGTACTACATGATCAACACCAACATGCAGTACGTGACATCGAGCAGTTTCCTACTCACAACGTACGCGAAGTACCTCAGCGCCGCACGAAGAACTGTGAACTGCGGAGGCCGCCAGGTGACCGCGGCCACGCTTATCTCCGCTGCTCAAAGCCAGGTATATCTCGGAGCCTCTGCCAGCAACAGTTTCCAACTTTTAATCATCAGCCAGGCAACCTTCCACGTCGAGTGCAGCATTGACAAGAAGCATTAAAACGAGCTGATCTGTTTTGTGGAATCAGGTGGACTACATCCTCGGCCGCAACCCCAGAGGATTATCTTACATGGTCGGCTTTGGCAGATACCCAACCCGAGTGCACCACCGCGCGGCGTCGATGCCCTCGATGAGAACCCATCCCCGAAAAATCCAGTGCCTAGAGGGATTCAACTGGTTTCACAGCTGGAACTCCAACCCGAACGTCGCCATGGGAGCGATCGTCGGTGGACCCAACCAGAATGACGACTTCGACGACGCTCGACAGAAAATCGCCCAGACAGAACCTGCTCTCTACGTCAACTCTCCCATCGTCGGCGTGTTGAGCGAACTTGCAGTCGGACGCCGATACTGAATTCCCGTTACTCAAGTTATAAAAAGATCAGACGAGATCCACTCACGATGACTTGTAGTACATGTATATTATTCCTGGCCGCCGATGCAGAGCTCATTACGGCCACACAAGCGCAACCATCATCACCATACCTCAATTAACATCATCTTCATACTCTTCAACGTCTTCAGAGTTTGTCTAGTAGGTATCATCGATGGCAATGGACAATATACCAGAAGAGTTTGCATAAACATGAGGTTCAGAGTTTAGTAGTGGTAATTCATGTGGGTCCATGCAGCTCCCGGCTTGAGTGGTGTGGAAGGAAGACCTGAGGAGCTGGGTCCATTTTGTTTAGGAAATGTCTGGATCTGGTTGCTGTGTGTTTCGCTCCCGGCTTCTTCACATCCCATTCATGTGTTGTAACCACAACTATGGAAGAATGCAGTAGCTGTTTCATGAAAGTGTTGTGTAGATCTGTTGATGTTGAGTTCCAGCCTCCTGTTTATTTCTTATGTCGATGTCTCCAATCCTTGCAGAGATTTGACATTGAACCAAAATAGTCTCTAAAAGATCATATTGTTTTAGTTGTATCTAAATAATCAACATTAATATGAAAAAAAGTAAATAAAATTATCCTTTTTTATAGCAAACTTTATCAAATTCAAATGTTTTTCAAAGGCCTCTTGATATGCATATGACTTTTAACTTACTAAAAAAAAGGATGTAAACCAATTCTTAAAAAGTTAAGTTCCTTGTATATAGAAACAAATAACAAAATGATCAATAATATGATATAAGATTTATTATAATAATTTTATGCTAAATCAATCATGTTAAAGGATCTATTTTCAAAGTAGATCTTATTGCAAGTTAATTTATAATTAATCTAAAAAGATATAAAATATACATTATTTATTTATATTTAATTAGATATAATTCTATGATTAGATGATTTAACCAAGTTTGATTGTATAATAGAAAAAGAAGTATAGCATAGCTTTACATAAAGAGTAGTAAATCTAACCAAATGATCTTAAAAGAATCAAGTATTAATTCATAAAAGTGAAAAATCATTCAATCAATAAACACACAAAGTAATTGATTGAATTTAATATTAAATTTTATTAAGATTTAAGATTAAATATGAATTTTTCTTTTTAAAATTAAGATTTAATTGAATAAATTGAGATTTTTACAAACAGATTTAGTATGAATTATCAATATTATAATCTAAAAATTTATAATTTTGATAATAGATTTGAAATCAAATATTTAAAACTTAAGAAATTTTATAAAGAATTTAGGATTTGTACTTTACTTTTATTTTTTTGATTTTATTATATTATACATAAATCTTAAAACCTAAAATTAGATAATTTTTAAATATCAAATTAAAAAAATAAAAATCAAATTATAATCAATACTATATTACCAAACATTTAATTTGGTTTATTTTAAGTTTCTTTCTATCAAATAAAAATCCTAATTTTGATCTCCACATTCTCTATTTTTTTATAATATTAAATTTCCTAAAAAGATATATAAAAATATTTTTTGATAAATAAAAATATTATTTAAGTTTTCATTTAGAAAAATAAAAAAATCTACGATTAAATGTAATATAATTTAATGCATGTTTTTCCAAAACATTTTAATATTTAGTCTTAAGTTTACCAATACAACTAATTTCTTTGCCATATTTTTAATAAAATAGATACTTAAAGTATTTATACTTGATATCTTCTTCCTAAAACCATTTTTTGTTATTTTTTTTCTCAAGGACATATATCATAATAAAATCCAAAAGATAATATACTCATATGCTATTAAAGAAAAAAATAGTAAATAAATAAAAAAAAAAACTAAAATAAATTTTGCAAAATACAAAGAGTCTAGGAAATCATGAATTAAGATTAAAGCACAATAAAAGATATTGAAAAGATTGAAGATGGCTTCAATCTTGCTTCTATATATATCAGCTATAACGATCTTGTGGAAGCTTCTTAGGAACCACAAGGATTATAGACCAAGCATCGAATTGTAGGTTGCTTCCAATACAATTTCTTGAAAGTAGGAAAATTATGGCAAAAGTTTCAATAGCCACATGGCACATCTACTACTACTAGATATAGTTAAATCCTTTACTATTATATTTTTAGTTTTTATAAATCAAAAGTATTAATTTATACATAAAAATTATAATTGAAGAAAATAGAATTTATTGAATAGAAGAATGTATTAAATTAACACAACTTTTTTTTGCTAAAACTAAAAAATTATCTAATTATCTTGAAAATAACTAATAGTACATTATAAGTATTGTTCCAATACTTTTTTCACATATTTTCTTGTCCATCACTTTGAAGATGAAAAATTAAAGATGACTTAATATTAATCTTTAATATGTTAAAAAATATCTTTCAAAATCTTAATACAAAGAAAGGCCTACAATCACACATAATATCACTTAAAAGTTTGTAATACCAGTAGATATTGCAAAAGAAGAATTTGGTTGTTTCTTCAATTGTAATAGCTTTTCTACAAGGTATAAAATGTATCATTTTGGTTGAACAATCTACTATTACAAAAATAGAGATACAAGAATTTGAGATTTGAAATTTTGTAAAAAAAATCCATCAAAATAGATGATCAAGGTTGCTTTAGAATATAAAGAGATTGAAGAAGTTTATAGGGTTGATAAAGTAGAGTCTTTTTTCTAAAATAAGTTTAATATAATTAAATAAATTCTTTGACTTCTTACTATATTTGAAACCACCAAAAATCTCTTAAAATATTTTCTAATTTTTTTCATATCTAAATAGCTTTATATTGTATTTGTAGTGCATATAATAATGTTTGACTTTTAGAAATATATAAACAGCTTCTATAATAATAAAAAAAATATTTGAATTTAAATTTTCTAAATTTATTATAAATATAATTTTAATATCAAAAATAAGATTTATTAATATATTTAAATAGAAATTATTTAAAAAAAACAATATCAACTATTTTTTTTGATTTAATGGCTTGAAGGTCCAATTGCTTTAGTTTCAAAAGAGTAGTTTATTTTTGATAATATACAAAATTTTCTTCTTTTGGTGCAAGATGGAAATATCTATATCAAGCATCTAATATGTATAAGAAGAAATAAGTATATTCAAATTTTATGGCTTAAAATTTCATAAAAAAATCAATAATATTTATTTGTATTTAGTTTATTAGATTTCATTTTTATTCTAAGCTAAATTAATATTCTATTAACTATCTAAGTTACACACATCCATCTAAGTAATATTCTTTCTATTCTATACAATGAATGTCATTTTGAATTATTATTCAAAAAATACATTACATCCAAATTAAAGACTCTATCTAATTGTATTCATCTATAATTTACATTTAATAATTTGAAGTAGGCCTTTAAATTTCACTCCTATGTCTCTCCAACTTTTGATCTAAAAATTCATCCATAATAAGTAATCAATGAATCTAATAAATTATAAAAATAAAATATTGAAATAAGTTAGTATCTTGAAATCTAATTTTATACCTTTTTTCATAAAATCACATACTAAACTTGCTACCTAATTCTAAATAAAGTTAATTGTTTTTTTAATCTCAACTTAAAAATATATCCACTTTTTAAATTTCTTATTAGATAATGTTTGAGTTTCTTTCAATATAGACCTTCAAAGTTTATTTTCTAATTCTTCAAGGTACTAAATCTCCTTTAAATTAATTAGATATCCTAATCTCGTCTTTTACTATTTTTTAATTAAGATTTAAAAATCAAACTTCAAATAATTCTTTTTTCTAAAAGAAAAGCTTCTAAATTACCTATGTGCTTGTTATCTTACCTTCTAAAGTCTCATCTTCAATTGGCAGCTATATTTTAGAAGCAACAAACCCTCTTCAATAAATCTTAGCACTCTTATAGGCTTCAAAGTTATCAATTTTTGGCATGCGAGAACAAAAAATTATAAGTTCTTTAAAAAAATAGCTTTTATTTCTATTTAGATTGTGAAAAATAAGATTTAATCTTTCAAAATAGTCCTATCAGATTGAAATGGCAATATACTCCCCTCTACTAAATGGGATGGTGATTATTTGTCCAAAATTCAAATTCTGAGATTTTTACATTAAAAAAATTATAACATAAAGTTCTATGTTTTTATAAAATTTTAAGACTTTTTTCTTAGAATTAAGAGAGATAAATAAAGAAAAATAAAATTATATATAAGAGTCTAGAAAAAAAAATTGACATGGTGTTGTTTATATACAAAAAATAAAATCTGTAGCCATTTGAATACATGACCCTTTTTATATTGGTGCCATAAGATTTAAGCATAGCAATTATATTTCTACCTTTTAATTCTAAGAAGTTTAAATCTTAAATCAACAACTCTAATTGATCTAAAGATCAAAATCTAAAATCCCTATTGACAGTTATTAAGTATACAAATATATTTTTTTGGCTAAACTAAGTTCACTATTATATTCAAAATATATTATTTGGTATAAATTAATTACTCCAATTTATTATTTTGTAAGAAATTATAGCACTTATAAAGATTAGAAGTGTAGAAATTTGAATTCAAATTAAATTACTTCTAAATTATTTATGGAATTAATTCTATAAAAATAATATTAAATAAATAATAAAAAAAACTAAAAAAAAAATCATTGGTCGTATTTACAATAAGATATATATTTTTTAAAATAATATATAATATTAAATATAAATTTTGACAAAGACATGCTCCAACAAACTTAGCAAAAACTTAAGACATATATTGGCATCAAATACTCAAGATTCTTATGATTGGACTAAATTTTATTTAGATAAAAAAATTAGGTAGTGATATTATTTTAAAATAAAACTTTTAATAGGAAATAAGGTTTTTGATAGAATAAATTTTGATAGAAAAAAAGATTTTATTTTTTTACTAATTATAACTATTAATTGATATTATAATGCATAAATCATTGATTTTAGGTGCTCCTATGACATATATTTT